GATAACAGCAAACAAATTTTCAAAATTCCGCAAAAAAACAGTTTTCCACGCCGGAGCGGATGTTGTTTTCGCCCCAAGCAAGGACCCCGTTGAACGCTCCAGATTATAAACATCACCCAACGGTATTACACCTCCAGGACTCACGGAACGCAACATGAAACAAACGCAACCCCCTCAGCCCCTTCCCGCCCTCGCCCTCCAGTGCCATCCAAGAAACACGGAAATTACAAAAACTCGGCTCGGCTCAGGTCGGGTCGGCTCGGCTCGGCTCGGCTAATGATCTATGGTGCTTGAGCTTTCCAGTGCTTTGCCCTGTTACCTCTGCCAACGCTATTTCGCGACGCCGCTCGCTGGAACTTTGCCAGACGCGCTGGATCTGCCCAGGGTCTAGCGGCTGGATCGCGTGGCTTGGGACGGGGATGGTGGGTGGGAGGGTCGGAGGTGGCTGGGGGATGTTGGTTAGTAGCTGCCTAGATACGGCGCAAATTGAAGCCAGGATAATGGGGAGAAATGAAGTTGCTGGTTAGGAGTTCAGGACGATAAACCATGACAGTGGTTGGAGGTGGTGGATGCCTCGATGCGGCTCTAGAGGCAGGGGTTGGGAACAGGATAAAGGAGAGGAAGAAGGGTGCTAGTCAGGAGTTCGAAGCAAGAACTGCAGATAGCAGTAAAGACGAAAATAACCAATGCGGCACACAAAGAAAAGTAAATTAAAGCAAACCTAATTTGTGAATAAAAGGAAAAAAGCAAATTCAAAGAATTGGAACTTGTAACCAAAGCAAAATAAATAGCAACGCGCACCAGACTAGCCGGTGCGGTCATGTGTTTTGTGCAATTCCGTCCACCGAACGATTGCTTATTAATGATTTTCACTGCTTTGTACTTTAATCTATGCAAAAATAGTTGGAACGTTGAAAAATAGTTAAAAATTTCACGCACCAGCGCATGAAAGCTGAAAACCCCGAAGGGTGAATATCCTTCCATGATCCCCGAGATAATAATTTACCTCGCTAGAATTTTCACGAGGCCGTAAGTGATACCCGAGGATGCGGGAACGCTGAATTTGAATTTGCAAGGTCATACGCGTGCAAGGGCTCATTACCCTAAAATTGCGGGTTCGTACACTCTGTTCACATTTTACCCGCAAAAATTTTCACTGACCCGTAGGGGATACCGGAGAGCGTGGGGACACTGAATTTGAATTTGCAAGATCGTCCGTGACAAGGGGTCACAGCCTTAAAATGCCAGCTTTTAGACAATAATTTACTCGTCAAATGTTTTCGCGGAGCCGTGCATGCTACCCGCGAGTAGGGGAAAGCTGAATTTAAATTTTCTGGGTAGCACATGGACGGAAGACATGCCCACTAAATTTCAGCCTTCTAGCTTATGTGGTTCTCGTGGCAATAATTTTATTCGCCAAAACTTTTACGGGGCTGTATGTGTTACCCGCGGGAAGGCTGAATTTAAATTTGCCGCATCACACGTTGGCGGGGAACACTATACCAAAATTTCAGCTGTATATCTTTTGTAGTTCCCGAGTTAAAAATGCAGTACAAAATGTGAGACACACACACAGACAACCCCGTGACAATATGCGTTTTGTACTGCTGTTACACAGCACAAAACGCATAATAAGCAAACCTTCCTCCGCATGAATTCCCTATAAAAGGGCGAAATCAGTTGAAAGTACTTCTGTCGATGGTTCTCTTAAGGCTGTCAACGAGCCTCGAGCTGTTTAGGAGGAAACTTGTGGACATTCCAGCACAACTGACATCAAAGTGAACGTATTTTACGCATGGATATGGCACTCATGAAAAATTCGCGGTTATTATACCTACTGAGGTTAAGATTTTGCGCATATCCACGATGCAACATTTCTGCCCCAGCTAACGTCCTTCTTCCTCTCGTGCAGGGAAAAATATAACATTACAATTATGAATGCATATGTTAAACCCCAAAGCAACAGCTATTGCTGTTAATGATCTGACTGTTTCAAATTTAGCGCAAAAATACATTTATCGGAGGCCAGGGCGCTTGCTACGTGAGTTATTTCGCAAAACAGGCATATTTAAGTAGATGTATGTGTGGCAGTATTTAATCTGGCGCAAAAGTGACAACTGCTTCTTGATAACTTCACTGTAATATTTTCAGTCGAAACCAGTAATACACCGTTCTCTCAGCTTTCCATTCCATAACGCAGAAGTAGAGCGAATCCAGTCATAATATAATTTTACGATATATATATATATATGTATATATATGCTTTATGTTACAAATATGTGCATCTTTATGTTTTATACACATACATTTCTTTTTAATATATATCACGATGAATATCTCTAATTCCATGTCTGTCTTCAACCAAAGATCGA